CCCGCCTCCTGGTTTTCTGAAGGAGGCGGGAAGGAGGGAGGAGGTTTCCCGGCCAATCGCAATCAAGCAGGCCAAACAACATGGAGCCGGCTTCCGTGGCAATCAGGAACCTGGGCGGGATGTCATTACCCTCTGCCCGGTTTCCTGATTACCAGGGAAGCCTGCTCCATGCCAGCGGAAGCACCGGTATTAGTATTCAGTGTCGGCGAGATCCGAAAGCAAAAAATCGGTACTCGTACACGATACTGAAAAACCGGTATTGGTGCATCCTTAGTTTTGATTAAAACTATTTTTTGTATTGGGACAAGTAGATTGTCGTGAAGGACAAGTAGATTTGGCCCCCACTTTAGCCCTTGGACAAGTAGTTTTTTTTTAAATTTCCACACCCCTGTATTATAATCAGGGGGTGTGGAAATTAAAAAAATAAAATAAACTACGTGTCCAAGCACTAAAGCGGGGGCCCGATCTACTTGTCCCTCATGACAATCTACTTGCTCTGAATTTTTTTATTTTTTTTTCACCAAAACAGTGTTTAGCAGTACTGAGCTTCTCATTAGTCAGTGAAGTCAGGTGACTATGCTGACCAAAGAGTGCTTGCAATTTGCGAGCGAAATTCAGAATTCATGGCACAGGTACAGATAGTACACCCATACTGGCGGACAGGAAGGACTGTTCGCTGAAAGGGAAGTATAGCAGGGTGGGAGAAGGGGCCAGATTTGTGCAGGTAATTCCATTTTTCCAAATTACTTGGGAAAGTGAATTTACCCTTTGGGGCTGGTGCAGACTTGGGCGATTTGTGTGCGGTTGCCGCACAACCCCATTGATTTCAATGGAGTTATAGACACGTGGCAATCGCTGAAAAAAGGTGCATGTACCTTTTTTTTTCGTGACACGCACCAAGCTGTGTTTTCAACCGCGATTATGTGAGATTGCACAGGCGGTATTGCGGCGGGAAACCGTGCAATCTGCGTGGCGCGACTGGGGTGCCATTATTGTCAATCATTGCCAGCTCAATCGGTGGTGTGATTCTGTGACTGCCCGGCCATCAACACAAACGCCGTGCAGTAACTGATTGCTCACTCTGCTCGCATCATGCCCTATGCAGACTGTGGGTGCAGCGGGGTTTGTTTTTATTTTTTTACTTTATTACCTTTTCATTTTTATGTGTTTACATTTTTTATTTTCCACTTGACTTTATTGCTATCACACAGGCGATAACAAGCCCCTGTGTGATAGCATTTGGAGGTGACAGGTTCTCTTATTTGACCGTTACCTGCAACACAGGAGTTCTAGTACAGCACTGTGCTTGTTCTCCTGTGACAGGAAGGCTGCATTCCTGTGTCACTATTCACGCAGAGAAGAGAAGCGCTCTCTGCTCCGTGCTATCTAACCTAATTTGCTGTGGTCCCAGGTCCCCCACAAGAGCGGGGGACTCCAAAGATCATGGCAGAAAGGAACCAATCGTGCAGCGAGAGAGGCAGCCGGGAGCGGTACACGGCCGCCGGAGATATTGGAAGGGGAGTGAGATTCAGGCTGGTTACAAGTGATTTTGGACAGCTGTGAGACCCTGACTACTCCGTCTGGGTGGCCATATTGCCTCCAGGCTGTTGCTGCCCGCAGGCCGGCGAGGAGAGGGAGTTGCAAAATTGGTTGGAGGAGTTTCGCTTTTGTCCCCGAGACATACCCTCCGAATTGGGATGCAAGGAGCCGACCACCTAGCCCACACAGTATTGTCCTACAGGGCTAGAAATCACAGGTTAATAGAAAGGGTGACAGAGCTCTGTTTGCACATGTGCACTCTGGTTGACTTCAGGGTTTATACTACCCAGGGGAGGTTTGTTCTCGCATAACCTTAGACCTAGTCGGTGAGAATGCACGCAATAAGAAATTATGGAAGATGCATTTAGTTAAGAAATCCTGTTTCTTTTGGAAGTTATTGAAAATGGTCACTGAAGCTATATAAAACATTTAAATACCTGTTTGCCTAGAGCCATTTTTCATCGCTATGATGACCTGGATGTTTCCAACCCTGACTGAATTTACTCCAGTGGTTCTCAACCTGTGTAACCTCAGGACCCACATTTGTCCTTGGTCATTAAGTCGTGACCCAAGTCGCACTGCAATTTAACGCACGGCTTTAGAGTACCACGCGCTCCGGTGCGGATGTACGAACTGTGGGTGGTAGGTGCGTTTGGGCGACGTAACACACCTCCCACATCAGAATGCATGTTAGGTGCGATTACGGGGTACAGTGTGTTAATGCTATGTGGTTAATGCACTGTACCAGTTTTTGGGGCCTCAAACAGACACAATCTCACACACTCAGATGTTATGCGCAATCCCAATACAAATTCGTAAACGTGTGAAAAGTAGCCACACTCCAGAAGGAAGGACAGTGTCCACATCAATTCAGATTATTTTAGGATCTACTGCCGAGTGATACAGAAAGAAGATGCATTTTTGTAAATTGTTAAGGTACCTGAATGTATTTTAACATTAACTCCAGCGTTTAGTGTCACTTTAATAAGCTAATCTAGCTGTTGCAGTTCATGTGTTGTAGCCACTATATAGTTACTGATTACCCACAGGTTTCTTTTTAGATTGATACAATATGTAGATATACATTTATCTTGGTTTACTAAACTGCAACCAGTTTGGAGTACGCAGTTGGACTTCACAGGCAAGTTCACACCGTTTTCTGTAACGCATTGTGTTGTTTTTGCTGAGTTTCTGATGTGTTTCATTTTAGGTCTTGCTGGGGGACCTCTGCAAGATCTTAAATATAGCCAGGAAAAGAGCAGCAAAATGCTTGCACATAAGAGACATGAACTTACCACAGTTCTCTTCAGAGCTGCTGAAATTATCATAGCCAGGGACAACCTGGGCAGCAATGACTCCCCACTTGTCCATCTTCCTATTCTTCTTATATTGCCCATGCCTCGAATCATGCAGCTCTGTGCAGGCTTCCACAAGTTCTACGAAGAATTTGGTGTCTACTTCAGCCATCATGGTTTCTATCTTCACAAATCTCTCTTTCTCCACAGAAGCAGAAAGTCCAGGGGTGATGAGACCATCCAAACCAGCCCATGCTGCAGTGACCCGTATTCCTGTGTGTTAATGGGTATTTGCCGCGTGTCCCCCTTGATTCTCAATGGGTGTTGCACGCGCAACAAACATGGCAAAATCTTGTTCATGCGTCCCATGTGTTTTTGTGTTTTTTGTTTTTTTTTACTGCTGGGGGCTCTAGGGAAATATCAGGTGTCAACAGACCCCTGATATTTTCCTTTTAAAATAGAAAAAGATTGAGGACAGAGTCCTCAATCTTTTTATGCAGCCCCTGTTATGAACAGGAAGCCTTATACTGAGTGTTCATGTCCATTCATATATTGTGGATATAGTGTAGGTTACCATGTCCACAATCATCAATAAACAGGAAGTGATGTAGATCATTTCCCATTCATAACTGGGACATAGTAAGCACACTGTCCAGTTATTTACAAACGTCTTCTGCAGAAAATGTGAAAGCCGCGCCATGGCACCTCTTATAGTGCGGTCCTAACTCTAAACTATGAGAGTCTCCATCTTGGAGCACATAGGGTAGAAGATGAAATTGGGTGCAGGTCTGTCAGGAGGAAGCCCAACCTCCCTTAAAGGCACAGGAACGCACAATGGATCCCGCACATCTAAATGGCAGCTGAGACCCCCCCCCATGCATCACTGCACCAAATCAGTCAAGCAAAACAAATGGCAAACGCACTCATCAATTCGTCACCAGCTTTACAGCAAGGTGACATGGAATGGGCTTTAAACAGCAAAACAACAAAGTTTTCCTGGCACACAAGCTAGCATGTAAAAAAAAAACTTGCCTCACCTCTTAAGGTTTTTACTGTTTAAAGCCCATTCCATGTGCACCTTGCTGTAAAGCTGGTGACGAATTGATGAGTGCGTTTCCATTTGTTTTGCTTGACTGATTTGGTGCAGTGATGCATGGGGGGTCTCAGCTGCCATTGGGATGTGCGGGATCCTTTGTGCGTACCTGTGCCTTTTTTAAGGGAGGTTGGGCTTCCTCCTGACAGACCTGCACCCAATTTTATCTTCTGCCCCATGTGCTCCAAGATGGAGACTCTCATAGTTTAGAGTTAGGACTGCACTATAAGAGGTGCCTTGGCACGGCTGTGCGGCTTTCACATTATCTGCAGAAGACGTGTATCCAAACCTGTTTTTAACCTTAGTGGTGAGACAAGTTTTTTTTACATTCTAGCTTGTGAGTGTGCCGGGAAAGCTTTTTGCTGTTTAAAGCCCATTCCATGTGCTCCTTGCTGTAAAGCCGACGATAAATTGATGAGTGCGTTTTGCCATTTGTTTATGCTTCAGTTATTTACAAACACACAATGATCAGCTGATCGGTGAATGTTTTGTACACTGCTCTCCATCATGAACGGGCTGTTGCAGGAGGCTGGGCAGGCGGAGGGGGAGGAGAGCTCCGCCTCATGTGGCAGGTCAATGCTCGCCTCCAATCACCGCTCTCCGTCCTGACACAGGAGGCGGAGCCGGGAGATGCAGGAGGAGAGCACTGCCTCCTATAAGATGACAGCTGTCACCTCCGCTCAGCCTCCTGAAGGCTTACCTCCCTGCTGGGCGTGGACGGCAGCATCAGAAGGTTCACAGACCGGTGCCCAGCGGGGAGGAGAGAAGCTGGAGATGCATTGAATTTTCCTCTGTTATGGCACTTTTGGAAATTTGCCTACCTAGATACTATGTTGGTCACTTAGTAGTTAGAGGCTAGTGGTGGTCTATAGCAGTAATAACTTCTCTTTTGTACCGGATATCATAGGTGTTCACTTGTCTTCACTGCAGCAATCATTCCCTTCTGTTCATACTAGATCATATACTGGTTCTCAAGGCTGAAATCCTTTTTTTTTTTTTTTCAGACAAAGCTGCTCTTTTGAAGTACTTTAATTGCTAGTTAGAATTAAAAAAAGTATGTTCATCTTCCACAGGCAAAAGAAATTTTGACTAAAGAATCAAACGTCCAGGAAGTAAGATGCCCAGTCACAGTGTGTGGAGATGTCCATGGACAGTTTCACGACCTTATGGAATTGTTCAGAATTGGAGGCAAATCACCAGACACAAATTATTTATTCATGGGAGATTATGTTGATAGAGGTTATTACTCAGTCGAAACTGTAACACTATTGGTTGCACTGAAGGTAAGAATAACTAGTTAAAAAAATTTGGGGGGAAAGGAGAGTGGCAGTGTCTTGGCTTAAAGTCAAACTTTACGGGAGTTTGGGAAGCTGGCCAGCATTTTTAGCATTTCTAAAAGGAACCAATCAAAATTCAGTCAGACAATGTTTTATAGCTTTTAATTGATGGCTATGGTTTATTGCTTTAAGGAATTTGCACCATTAAGTAATGTGGTTTGTCCTCATTCCTTGCCCTGGTATATAAAAAGAAAACATCTGTGGCAATTCAAATTTCCTCATGGATGCATGGCCACTTATCAGCTGTTGAGGACTAGAGCTGCAGCTAATGATGGTTTTCAAAATCGATTCGTTAGACGATTATTACGTTTGATCGGATAAAAAAAAATGGCTCCAGTGATGGACTACTAGTTTGTATTGAGATTGTAGTCCATCACGGGAGCAAGCTTGGAGTGGTGAAACTACAAAAAGTGTAGTGTGCAATATAGTGAAATGGAAAGTATAAAATTATACTGCAATCAATGCAGAATACCACCAGCAATAGAGGAATACAACAAATCCCAGCAATAGTACATTATAACTCTTGGTATTCTGCATTGCGCGTTATAATGTACTATTGTTGGGTTTTGTAGTCCTCTATAGCAGGTGGTATTCTGCATTGCGCTTTATAATGTATTACTGGGATTTGTAGTCCTCTATACAGCGCAATGCAGAATACTACCAGCTATAGAGGAATACAACAAATCCCAGCAATACTTATACTTTATAATGTATTGCTGGGATTTGTATTCCTCTATAGCTGATGGTACATTGCTCTGTATAATATACAGCACAATGTACCATCAGCTATAGAGGAATACAAATTCCACTATCCTAGCAATAAATTATAGAGCACCATGTGTGGGAAAGTGCAGGCTTACCTAAGCAGTCTTCCAGCAACTTGCTTCTGAGATTGGGCCTGCTGTCAGCAGCTGTCTTCCCTCATGCCTGCTCCTCCTTACGTCTACTCCCCGCGTCCCTGTGCCGATCTTGGATGTGGGCGGGCAGTGGGGCGGGTCTGGCAGCGCCGAGGCGGGGTGCGGCGTGCAGCGTGTATGCGGGCAGGCGCGTCTGGCAGGGGCGAGCCCAAGGCGGGGTGGAGCGTGTATGCAAGCAGGCGGTTCTGGCAGCCCTGAGCATGAGGTGGGGAGGAGGTGCGGCGTGTGTGGAGCCGCGAACAGGGCCAACTAATTGAAAGCCAATCAATCGATGATGGAAAACGTTGACAACTTTTTACATCATCGATTATAATCGACTTAGTCGAGTAGTTGTTGCAGCCCTATTGATGACATTCACATTCTGCAACAAACACAATATCATTCTTATGGTTCTATGAAGTGGCTGCATCTTTATAAGGGAACTGTGGGCCTTTATATTGAGCTGTCAGAAGAATGAATTGTTTGGATCTGTCCTAGCAGGCAGTTGGACCTCTGTCTTTTTTTTATTGTGCATTATTGAGGTATGAAAAACAGCAACAGCATTTCTTCAGACTGACTCATGAGATTCTTTCTGGTACAGTAGCATTTGGTAATTCTGAAGTATTTCTTGATGTTACTTTTACATTTGACCTGTAGCATGTTTAAATTATTTTCTTTTCCTAGGTTCGTTACCGTGAACGTATTACAATTCTAAGGGGGAATCATGAAAGCAGGCAGATTACACAAGTATATGGTTTTTATGACGAATGTTTAAGGAAATATGGGAATGCAAACGTTTGGAAATACTTTACGGACTTGTTTGATTACCTTCCATTAACTGCCTTAGTGGATGGTCAGGTATGGATATAAATGAAATGGCCACAATATTACCAATAAACCATTTAGAGTTAACAGTGATTGATAGCCCTAGAATTATTGCTCATTGTGGAGTGCCTGTTACAGTATGCTCTATTGGGTAGCTTATGCCAGTTGCCTCCAATTGTAAGCCTTCTGCTCACCACATGTGTTTATAATCTGATTGTACAATCGCCTTTTAGATCTACCAACAAATATGTAGTTCAAGGGCCTGCCTAATTGGGTATAAAATAATTTTAAATAGTATAGGTAGGACATCATATTGCATAGTTTTGACCGCGATTAAAGCAGCGGTTCTCAACCTGGGGGGGTCGAATGACTATTTGCCAGGGGTCTCCTAAAGACATCCCAACTCTCCCGACGCTCCGGGAGTCTCCCGCTATTAGTGGCTCCCGGCTGCTCGGGCGAGAAACACTTTCTCCCGGAAAGGTTTACTCTGCTCGATTGAGCAGAGTAAACCTTTCCCTGCTCTTGTTTTTTTTTTTCTGACATCAGATTTGCCGGCCGCCATCAGTCAGAAAAAAAACAATAGGAATGCATAGCTAGATTCCTATTGCTATTTCACTTTGCAATAGCAAACTAGCTATTGCACCCGCCCGCTGCTGTCAATCAACATTTCTTGTTTGTTTTTCTGACGGCGGCCGGCGGATCCGATGTTGTAAAAAAAAAAACAGAGCAGGGAAAGGTTTACTCTGCCGGATCGGGCAGAGAAAACCTTTCCGGGA